AAAGAGCAATGGGTCACACTCAAAGAAGCCTCTGCTCCTGGCAGCTGTCCTCACATCCAGGTGGGCAACGTTCTCAGCTTCGCAGCCCAGGAAGGTTCTGCTCTGTGGCTCCAGAAAGCCCCATCTGCACCAGCGGCCACAGGAACAACAGCATTTCCATTCTGTTCTCTATTAGCAGGGACATTTTTCCTGATTTCACTAGCTGCGCATCAGTAAGTGCGGCACAGCCCCGTGAATGTGGTTGCCGTAGTCACAGGTGACAGTTCAAAGCAAGTCAGTAAGAGGAACATATTTCATTAATGCCTTCTGCTGCTGGGAACGCACCACTCTTTCATGTCCTAACTCAAAAGCCCACGCGGCGTATACTGTGCCACTCCAATAAATCCATCTGAAGCCTCATCTGAATTCTAATCCACTGCTCCAGGAGAGCACACGGACGTCCCACAGAGCTCCCCAGCCCCCTCGCCAGGCTCTGGTTTTACGGCCAACTGGAAGCAATAACAGTAAGCTAATCCTGTTCTCATCTCGGGGCTGAGGGAGCAGCACGGGAATTATACGTCTTGCAAAATTGTCTGCAAATGTACTAGTTCAGGCAGGGTACCTTCCAGCCACCCTTCACTGAGACAGCCAGTGGTAACGAAAGCACCAACAGCACTTTGTGTGTCTAGGAGCACAAATAACTCACCGAGCTCCCCTTGCCGAGCGTAAGGCAGCACTGGAGAACAATCAAAGACATCGAGGAACACAGCCCAAGCACCCTTCAGCTGAACCAGTGACACAAAGACCTCCAAGCACTTACAGCCTCTCAGGCTGAAGCCAAAGTTTGATGGGCAATAACAGTTAACGAAGCTGTTTTAAAGACAGATGTGTAAATTGGGCTGTCTGACTGAAGGGATGCAGTCAGGGGACATACTACAGTCAGTGTCGAGACAAGATCCCCATTCAAACACAATGTCATTTTAATGATGCTGGCATCTATGGCCGAGACCATCATGATGTGCTAAGTGATGTGCAACGCAAGGGGGAAAGAGAAGGAAATTTAACTGACCTGACCTGAAATTTCTTCCTCTGAGCAATAGGGTCCCCAGGTCCGTAACGAGCACCTGTTTTTGCTGACTTGCTACCACAGAGCAGAGCAGTGTCAGTCAGACACCCTGGGAACGTCCTGCGGCCAGCAGTCCCTCCTCAGATGATGACCGTGCAGCTACACTGCCAGGAGAAAGAGGAGGTTTCACTCTGAAATTCAGCCTACGCGTAAGAGAAGAAACAGCTGGTGGACAAACAGCAGATTAGCAGGCGGCCACAGGACACTGCCCTTCCCCTCCGAGCACAGTCAGGTCTGCGCAACCCTCTGCTTTCAAACAGAAGAGCAGGACCAACCTGCAAATACGATCACCCTTTCTTCCCAGAGGCAGAGACACACAAAGGCTCCTGGTAAGTACAAACCAAGCTACGAAAAGCCAGCCTGGAAATACTCATTTTGGTGCACGCAGGCCCAGACGACCACGTGTCTGCTTAGCAGGTCCCAATCCTGAAGACCTGCCTCAGCTCTCCCTGCCCTGACAGTACCTGGACATTGCACCATGGCTTCTGGCATGAAACACAGCGTTTCTTTGATTTCCTCTGGAAACGGGAGCCACGAGAAGACAACTTGCCCATATTAAAAACCCAACGGCTTTCATAAAGACAGAGCACAGGTCCTGTCCTTCCAAACACGTGCACCTGGAGTTGGCTACCTGCAGCGCGTTTTGATGCAGAGGATCCAGCAGGAAGGTGCAAGCTGATGGGCAAGAAGCTGTAAGAAACACAACGAGCTACCAAACCTTGCACAATGTGAGTGGTCCCCACTGCCTTCACTAAGAACAGGACTTGTGAGTCTCCGATACCACTTTTCCCCCATCTTCCTCTTCTTTTCATGCTTTTTCGTCCCTGAGAAAAGGCCTAGCAACTAATTGTGCTTGCCCTAGGTGCAGTGCCCAGGGGAGTTGCTGCAGCTCTGCACAGCTGATCGACAGGCACCCAGGAAGCACCATGGACCTCCTGCTCCATTCGTCTGTCTCAGCTCCCTCCTGCCACGGACAGGTCCTGATCAGCAACATTTCCAAAAGGAGGCAGGAGTGAAACTTCCTCTTCATTAAAGCCAATATTAAAACTGCAAAGATCCTGGAAGAGACCTGAATATGCTTGACTGATCAAAGAACTGGCTCCGAATAAAAATTAATCATAAAAACAGAATAAAATAATAATACTGAACCTAACACCTTATGCAAAGCAGAAGAGCCCTGAATGGCAAA